AATAATTCATTATAAAAAAATAATCATTCTTCTTTTTATTAAAATATAAATCAAAACAAAAGATATTTCAATGATCTAGATCAATTTTCAAAATAATATAAATATTTGATTTTCATAATAAATGAGATAAATCGAACTTATTATTTTATTAATCTACGATGAATAATTAATAGCCGAAATGTTGAGGCGACATGTTTCTCTCTTTTCAATATATCTTTGAGAGTATAGTTTACTTTTTAATTGAAACAGATTGTTCAAAACTTTTAAATGTTATTTTATTGTTTCAATTTTCTACTCTTTATATTGAATGATACGTTAAGAAAGAAAAGACCTTGAAAAACGTCTTTGCAAATTTTATAAACATGTAGCAAGTCAGAGTATGAAAATAATCGTTTATCAATTCAAAAAAACATAATATGTAACAAATAAACATTCAATATATGTTTTTTAAACTATCGACTTCGTACATTGCACAACGAAATTTTTCTTACGAATATGTCTTACAGTTAATATTATCAATCAACAGATAAATCGTTTCCTGAAAATTGTCAATAATAAAACTAGTATAGATAATGTCACATCGAAAAATGTAAAATAATTGTTCAAGCAAGAATTAGTCTTAGATTAAGAATAAGAATATCGATTTTTATTAGAAAAATACAAAAGATATCAAATATGGAAAGTAAAGACAAAGAAGCAAGAGTTAGAAAAGTTCTAATAAACATTAGAAAATTATTTTCATTTANGGAATATAACGAAAGTTCATGAAATTTTCTTCGTGAAATTTCGTTAATTTGTCTTTTAACGCATTTTTTTGTGTTAATTTCAAGAATCATTTCGTTAAATACCTTTTTATTTTTACATGGGACGTTCATATGAGTGTGCCCAGATTTCGTGGAACTGGTATCGCTTGAAATCTCTCAAAATCTTTTAAAATCTTAAAATCTGCTTTTCCCCCCTTGACATACCCACACCCACCCTCAAATACAATCAAACTTAGGACATTTGCGAACAATTATTCTGTGCGATGAATGTTCTGACACTTAGCCTGTAGCAGGACATTTTGTCCCTTTGAATTACTCAGCTGTACAACAACATCTACATTTACATTCGGTCCCCATTTGGGACCGTTTCGAGCAATGGCCCTGATATAATGGCGATTGACGTCAGACTGTCGTGGTTGCTCTTCTAACACATGTGTCTTCCAAATTTGAGCTTGGCTGTCGTTGCCAAGCATGATCCATGCTATATCGACTTTGATATCTGATGGAACTAGACTTGAGTTAACAGTTTTGATATACAATATAGCTATCATCGGACGACCAGATTTTTCACATATCGGCATAAAATCACGCCAGATATGAGTTTCCAGTCGATATTCATTTCCATCTATTGATACTCGTTCTGAAGCCGATGACAACACTGTCCATGCTATAGATGGACCTTCAAGGTCGGTGGCTACTATCTAAATAAAATAAATTCTAAGAACTATGACTAATGATTGAATCATACAAATATTCGAGATTTCGTTCGGCTTGGTGTTTTTATTGCCCATTATGATAAATTTGAAAAATAAGTGCTACACCATGCAGTAAACGCTTTATTTTGCTGCTTCACCTTATAACTTATATCTTTTATGTAGCGCGCACAAGTGTTTATATCAGATAGCATGGTGATAACACAAGTAGAGAACGATCACAAGGCCGAGAAAGAGAAAAAGATAAGAATGTTGAGTATATGTTTTGCGACATTCGTCAACCAGACGCGCAATCAAAAAGAAACAAGCAGAATATCGGCATTAGCAAACTTTTTATGTCTGCAGTTGCTAGCACTTAAAGCCAGTAAAAATATACTTGATGAAATAGAGAAGAATCATACAAAAATGAGATTTCAAATTGCAGCCGAAATAACAAAAGAAAGGAGGTATATACGAGAGTGTGGGTGTGAGCGTGACGCTAGTGTGGAGGAGAGGAGGAGGATGATGGGTGCGGATTGCTAAAATTCAGAGTCATTACGGAAACATCATCTGCGAGCATTTCTTGTTTTTTCAAATATGTTTTTGTATCTGACAATTAAGGCAATCCACAATAGAAAGAATTCATATTATATTTAAGCACAAGATTAATTTATGCACTTCTTCATTAATAATCTTTAACTGAATGTATTTTTTCCATTAGTTATTGTCTATTGAAACATTTAACTTCTGGAGAATCTTTGTCAGAGTTCAAAAAAATGGCTTCTTTGACTTCTTTTGTTCTTGCTTCTTGAGTTTTGGGTAAGTATTCTTTAATCAGGTCGACGAATATCCTTGATGTGCCCGTGAGGAAACTTCGAGTTTTTTCTCTGATAGTGAAGCCCAATATCTTACTAAGAGTTCCATGAAGTCGATGAACTTGTTGATAGACACATTAACTTTGATTTGGTTACAAGTGGTTCCTCTTCTCTAGCCCTTTTCTGGCATTTTCCTAAAAACAAAGTAAACTGATGAAAGTCTCGATCCATATTCTTCGAAAACGATGCGATGGAATAGAAAAAAACGGGTAAAGTTATAAACAATCTTATGATGTTTTACTGTAATTACGATTCTTGTTACTGAAAATGTTTGTTCTTTGTAAGGCCATATGCAAAAAGGTTCACACTATTATTCTTGACACCTTGAACATGATTTCAGAGTTGTAAAAATCGGTCTAGCAAAACTACTTTTATAGACAATGCGTTGTTGCAAACGGGCCACTCTTCACCTTATACGTTCATCTTAATGGTTATCTTGATGAGCTTTTAACAGTGAAGAACCAAAGTTTATTGCTAAATGTACAGACATTTCTTATTTCTCTAGACTACATTAAGGAACAGCCGTATTGGCCGCATGTAGAAGAGTAGGAAAATACAAGTCGCACATTGGCGACTCTGCATTTTAATTTTCTACCTTTATTCATCGTCAAATCGAGTTGTTTGCACCGCAGATCGAGACTGTTTAATTTCCACTTGTATTGTTCATTTTCGGTTTCAAGTTTCCTACACTTCTGGTCGAGTGAGTTGACTTATAACTTGAGTTCCTTCGTAATTGATAGGAACTGACTAAGTATAGGTCTCATCTGCTCGAAGCTACACTTTGTGAGATGGCTAACGAGCTGATCGTTTGCTTCCACTCATCCACACTTGAGATCTGCAGCTGAGCACTTTACATTCACTTTCGGACATAATTTCTTTATTTGTGTTCTTTGAAAAAGCCTCGTTGAATGTTTATTTCACCAAAAGTCGATTCAGAGTATTGAATACAATGACATCAGCCGGCTTGATCTCTCTCGATGAGATGGGGTCGTAACGATATAATGGGGTTGTGCCAACTTACTTATATCGACAGCAGTATTTCCCTCATAAATTCCTCTTTCATCAATTTGGGTATGAATGTAAATCACGAGAAGGCTAACGCCTACATCATAAGGACAAGACTATCACTGTCACCGTCAGAACACAAATTGACAAAATATTATTCTCTAAGCAAAGACGTAAGATTGAATTGTTTTTAGGTACGATAACTTTGTTTGTCCTTCATACGCATCTTAAATTATTGGAAATTATTCGTCCGTGACATAACGATTGATGGATGGTAAACTTCCTTTTTCTTTATTTTATGATCTCTTTCTTAGAGTATTGACCTTGAATGATATATCATATCTTTTCTCTTCCCTATTTTGTTAAATAAAACAAGAATCTGTTGGTATTGATATACAACACGAATGAATAAGATAAACATCATTATTGATATTGACAATCGAGCGATTTCTCCAGTTCATCATACAATATTGTTATATGATTGTTTTTAAATAATATTTTTCTCTTTTGTAGATTGAATAATAGGTAAATATTTTCTCAAAATTTATAATTCAATGTTGGTACTTGTTATGACCGAAATGTTCCCCTTCGATCATAAGACGGAACAAACGAATAATAAACGCTCCTTTCTAGTACAGTGGTAGTATAGCTGCCCGGAAAGCAGAAGACGTAGGTTCGATTCCCTCGGAAGGAGTATCCTTTTGTTCCGTTCTGTTGTCATACCATCACGTTGCTATCTCGCTGATAACTCAGTTTAATACTATGAGAGAAAAGAAGACATAATAGCACTTACATAATTATATATATTATCATTATGATTTCTAAAAAAATACCTATTGTTAAATAAGTCAATATAGATTTTAAGAATTCTCGTATACTACAAATACATTGTAAACTTATCAAACACTTGAGAAAAAATAATTAATAATTCATTGATAAATATTCTTTTTATATAGTAAAAGAAATATGAGTTAATCATTTTATTTTATTTTCGTCTAGAAATAAATTATCTCCATTCAGTTAAACGAAAATTAACATTTAATCAATCATCATATGAAGAAACAAAAAAATGACGAAGTAACTTGTTCAAATAGTAAATAGAAATTTCTCTTTGGTATTTTTTTAATGTAAATAGATGATTTTGATCAAATAATAACTTGTATTGAAAATTTATCTAATGAATTTTTCTATGAAATATTTGATTATCTTGATGGTTATGAAATATATAAAGCATTCTCCAATCTTAATCATTGTTTTCAACAACTTCTTGATTCTTCATCTCTTTTATATAAAACTAAGCTTGATTATTCAAAATTATAATGAATCGTACATGAACAACTACAAACAATTTCTCCTTCGTAATAAACATAAAATGCTTTCAATCGAATTATGGTTCGGACTTATAGAGAATAATTTTTTCTCATGGTTTACATTCGATTCGTCACTAAGTCGTCTTGAATCACTTCATGTTCAACCACAGGAACCATATATGCTTATGTCACTTCTTAGTAATTTAGCTTGTCTATCTCGTCTTTTCTCCTTAACTATCCATCCACCGGATGTGTCAAAAAATTTAAATGATATTTATTGATTAGTATTCGCCTTAACTACATTAAAAATCATTTATATTCTTCTTAGATAAATACAGTACAATCTAACTTCCGATGGCTACCAATCAACAATTGAGTACTATTGAATATCTTGCTACTTATCAATTTTGTACTGTCAATGAACTTTTTACAATTCTTTCATATGCACCACAACTTCGTCGTCTAAAACTTGGTAATAGTGTTGACATCGATACAAATATTCACATTATATTACCAATCACATTATTACATTTAACAGATATTTCACTACTTATGAGTGATGTAAAATTTGATAAATTTGAAATACTCATCAGAAAAATAGATGCTAAATGAAAAATTTTACGTGTTACTACTCAATCTAAAGATTTAAATTTTCTTAATGCTCATCGATGGGAACAACTAATTTTAAAGTCTTTACTTCAATTGAAAGAATTTTATTTATGGTATATTGAAAGTGTTGACGTTGAATATCAATATCTTGGGGGATCAGATCAATTTATATCATCATTTTGGATTGAACGATAATGGATATTTGAAGTTGAAATCGATCATGAATTTTTTAATTATTTAGTTTGCCCAGAGAGGTACATTAAGAAGATATTTTTTTAATGAAATATAATTTTTTTTGTGTTTTTCTATTACAAAAAAATGGTACGAATATACACACGACAAAATTTTAAATTCTTCTGTTGAATATTTTAAATCTACTCGATTAACTATGACATATGTTGATCTTGAACATCTTCATGGAACCTTAACGACGGATACGACACATGTTTTAACTATAGCACAAATTTATCATTTGAAAATTACAGAAGAAAACGTCTATGTTGGTGCATTAATTGAAGCTGTAAGTTTATTACCAGAATTTACGACATTAAAAATTCATTCTTTATCATTACATAAATCAATACTGTTAAATTCTGAAGAAGTGATTACTCACTTTTCAATGAATGAAATTGAAGAAATTTCTTTTTTTTTGAACGTATGCCCTTATCTGGAATATCTCAAAATGGATTATATAAAACAAATGGATTTGAAATTTGTTCTGCAATATATTTTGGAAAAAATAAAACATGATTGTAATGAATATCTTCATTTATTGTGTTTTCGTGTTCCAACAGCAGATAATGAAACGATTGAAAAATTAAAAAGAATGATTAATTTTGAAAAACTTCTATGGAATTATACAATTAAACATGTAGCTGATAATCTATATCTAGAATGGCAATGATTGTAAGATGTGTAGTATTAATTGTTATAAAACGTGTTTTGTGTTTATTAAATAAAATAAACGATTTTTAAGTTAGGCAAGTCCATATCAAGATATAATTTTTTTTTGCATTAATTTGAAAATACTAGTGAAGAATCTAAACTATGGCTTAGGATCAGAATTTTTATCTTAAAAAATATTTTGATACTTATAATCTGAAAGTGAGAGTTAACATGCTGTTATTAATATATCAGGTTGTGAAACAAACTATGCTATTTCAGTTAGTAGTCTGTAATGTTGACATCGTCTTCAATGTCACTTTTATCTTTAAGTTTTTATTCGAACTCAATTCAATGATACTACACGAGGCTCATTCATCATTCATGTCTAAACCGTAGTGTTATATACAAATTTGTGTGAGATTTTAAAAATAACTCTACTAGACTAATAAGATCTATTCATCGATTTACTACAACAGATTTGAAGCCAGATGGAAAAAACTAAACCGGTCCAGTGACAAGAGAAATGTGGTTCACACAGAGTTCATGGGTTACTTTCGGATTGTTCACAACAACGAATTCTTTGACTCGAAATTTTCACTGTATCTGACCAGATCTGAAATTATCAGGAACAATCATAGCAGAAAACAGTGGCGGTACGATTTGAAATGTGACTATTTTCGAGTTAGAACGAGAAAATGGTGCAATAGCAAGAAAAGGAGAGTGAAGCACTTGCTAAGCCGGCGGACGAGATGAAAGGAAAGAAGAAGCAAAGCGGAAAGAAAGAATTTCTTTTATCGTAGGATGTCGTGAATCGGTCGACATCGATGGCTCACCTTCACGTGCACTGACTGTCCTTCATTCCACTATTCTTTGCTCTTGCCTCAATGAATACAATCAATATTCATACTAGACTGCAACACACTTTTGTATTGCCAGCAGTTTCAGAAGATTTTGTAATTCCATGTGACTGAATAATTTTGACAGCAAAACATATGAAACATGTTTTGATAAAAAAACAGCTAGATAAGGTCATTTTAACAACTTTTCAACGGGTGAATTTTCAGTCTTTACCGGTCCGATTGAGTTTTCGTACTGGTTTTTCGGACAGATTCCAGCTCTGTACTACAATGCTAATCTTACTGGACTTTCGTTTTTTTACAATCCGTTTTACATGAACATTGTTTATATTTTTTCTATTTCGTTCATTTGCATTCACTCATAAAAAATAGATGATTTCTGATTCTATTGATGATTGACTTCCTCTTAAATTTCTTTTTCAATCAGCCCTGTGTAAATGAACAAATAAGAATTTTGTTCGTTATGTCCATTACATGTTGACACATGGTATTTTTCTCTCTGTTCCAGACTTCTCTCTCTTTTCTCTCCTGCTATAAATGTTCGTGTTTTCTTTTCAAATAGAAGTTGTTATTAAGCCTTTGCAAGAAAAAAAGAAATCCTCCTTGACCAGTCAGGCAGGCTGTAACACCCTTATATATCTTTACAATAGGTTAACATCAGTTAAACCATTCATAAGATATATTAACTTGTGAATTCTAAATAAATCGTACTATTGAACAGTTAATTGATAATATTTGGGAAAACATCGTCAGAGAGATTTAGTTACAATATACAAATGGTCGATAACTATAAATTAGAAGTCGTGTAATCTGCTTCTCAAATTCTATCGTTTCAGTTTGATTTGCATTGATGAGATATCGAAGTATAATACCGCAAGGGCATGGGTGTTGATGGATGGATATGTCAATAACAATACCCATATATCTATAGCTACATCTATCTCNGTAAAGATGGATATGACACATGTTTTAACTATAGCACAAATTTACCATTTGGAGATTTCAGAAGAAAATGTCTATGTTAATGCATTAATTGCAACTATAAGTTTATTACCAGAACTTAAAACATTAAAAATTCATTCTTTATCATTACATAAACCAATAATGTTAGATTCTGAAGAATTGATTAGTAACCTTTCAATGAATTATACAAGTAAAGTTAGAAAAGTATATCTTCAAACGATGTATGAAATTCAAGAATTTTCTATTCTTTTGAATTTATGTCCTTATATGGAATATCTCAAAGTGGATTATACAGAAAAAATGGATTTTACATTTGTTCTACGATATATTTTGAAAAAAATAAAATATGATTGTAATGAACATCTTCGTTTATTGTGTTTTCGTGTTCCAACAGCAGATGATGAAACGATTGAAAAATTAAATAGAATGATTAATCTTGAAAAACTTCCATGGAACTTTAAAATTAAACGGGTAGCTGAGAACTTATATTTTGAATGGAAATGATTATTAGATATTTTCTATTAATTGTTATAAAACATGTTTTGTGTTTATTAAATAAAATAAATGATCATCGAGTTAGTAAAGTTTGTATCAAGATATATATTTTTTATTTTTCTCTGTTCATCCATTCATATTTCATTAGTCTACCATAAAATGCTTAATTAGGGTAAATAATTAATAACAATTATATCATATTGTTAATTATTTATTGAAATCATCAACAAAAATTTGTTTACGTCTATGTATATCCATGTTGTCTTCTCGACTTGTTTTACTGTCTTAATCCTTCAGTAAAAATATCATTCGACCTGATTACATTCATTTTAATTTCTTTGAATTATGTTTCGATTTCATGTAGAAAATCTCTTCAAAACCGACTAATCTTTGTCTGAAATCATTTCTAGTCTAAGAAAATATAACAATATGACTCTCATTTTCTTCCACCGACTTTCATTAACGCTCAAATATTATACAAAATTATATTAATAGCACTGTCAACTAAATCAAACCGTCAAGCCAATCTAATCGCAATATTGCATACAAATTTGCATGAAATTTTAAAAAAATGACTCTACTATACTAATAAGATCTATTCATTAATTTACTACAATGCTAACTTTATTGAACTTTCGTTTTCTTTACAATTTATTTTACACCGGCATTGTTTATATTTTTCTATTTCGTCTATTTATATTTTATTATGATAAATAGGCGATTTCTAATTTTATTATTCGTTACCTTCCTCTTGAATTTCTTTTTTAATCATCTCTTATATATCTTTACACTCGGTTAAAACCAACTATACCACTAATAGGATACATTAGCTTGTGAATTTTAAATAAAACGTACGATTCAACACTTAATTGATAACATTTTGGATCAAAAAAAGTTATTCCCTGTCGTACTTAAAGAAAACATCACCAAGAGAATTGGTTGCAATACAAAAATAGTTGATAACTATTTTTAGAAGTTATATATAATATACTTCTCAAATTCTATCGTTTTAATTTGATTTCCATCGATGAGATATCGAAATGTGATAGCATATATTGTTTTTCTAAACAAAGTAAGATGTATGCGTATGTGTGTCGTTTTGGTTTCCTCATCTATTCACCCACATTAAGACCCTCATCCATCTGAAATACCTCATATGCTTATTTTCAAATACCATTGTCAAGGAAAAACGAGGAAAACATTCTAAAATTCATATGATTTCTATAGTTATTTATGATAAAAGTAAATGCTTTTTCTCTATATGAAATCACATTGGGATGAAAGATACGACTAAACGAGCAGGTATAGCTCGATACGAATTGTGGTCGAATCTGATTGGACGCACTTTATCAAACGATATAAATTTGTTATAGATTGAATTAGGAATGTCACAGAAGGATAACACTGGATCGATACTAGAGACCAAACTCGAACCACTTTATAATATCAGTTTCTCTGCTTGCTTCTGATCTAACTAGTTATTTGATGTCATATGTTTTGACAACCGGATTGATGAATTTAAATTTAGAAAAATCTATTAAATCTAGAAATATATTCTCAAACTTTAAAACTTAACACCTTCTGGATGGGTCACGTATATATACGTAACGACTCTGTATGAACTTGTAATTCATTTATGAGTGTCTCGTCGTAGGGTATGTTTCTAGTCTGTTAGAACGATGATCATGTACCAGCATTGCTCTCAACTCTTTCTATTAATTTTCTATATTTGTGGACATTATTGTCCTGTTCTGTGTTTGAAAATAGTTGTAGCTACTACCGTATTGAACAATAACTCAATAATGAATAAAACAATAACGGAAATAACTATGAAAATGAGAGATATACATGGTCGCTGGAGTAAAAAAAGAATATTTCGGAGCATACATGAATAGATTAACAGGAAAATTATGACGTCAGTATAGAATAACATGAAGAAAGAGAATATCTGAGAAAGATCTGTATGACAGGAGCAATAACTTATGATATTCATAACTCTATAATTTTTAATATTCCGTCGCATATGTTCAAGCATATTATATTTGTGAATACTCTTCCTATGTGTTTACCTTTTTCTATTCTTATTCTAGTATATTTAATGTTGTTCTTATGTCTTTGATGCTCAAGTATATAAATGTCTGCCTTGAACCTATAGTTATGATATTTTCGATCACTTACATAAAGAAGTTCAACTATATTACGAAATACTCTAACAAATACTTTAGTATTCAATAATTTTTATCGATTGAAATGACAACTACGAAATAAACGAAAATTTCCAGTATCTTGTATCAGGAATTGAATCAGAAAACGAATCACAAAGTGAACCAGAAGGTGAAAGTAGCTCCGAAGCTGAACAACGCAGTGATTGTGGGTGTGAGTGTTTATCTTCGCTCAATCCATCACCCACACCCTTATGTTAAATCTATTATTGATACAACAACAAGTAGTCTGCATTCTATAGAATAAACGCTCAGAATGATTGAGTGTAATCGAACAACAAAAATAGTTAACGTCAAATTAGAGATTATTAAACAAAAATATTCTTAGATGAAAAACTTGTAAGATATGATTGTAAAAGAAAAAGAAGTACATTCATAATTTGTTGGGAAACATGTTTCCATTTCTTATCGAGATTTCAAACAATATCAAAAATAACTGTTAACAATTTTAAACTCTATAATAATACAAATTTTACTGAAATTTTTTTCCGTAGAAAAATAAAAAGCTTTAGAATAATTAATACACCTAATTTCACTTGAAACTTTATCAATTATATGAATTAAGATAATTGTCTCAAAATTCTTCTTACTTGTGAGCATCAACTAAATAATTTTTGTAAAATTTATTTATTCATTGAACAATAATTGAAATATGATTTCTTTAATGATATTCATAACATCAATATCCTTACTGACTTATCTATTAAAATTTTTCTTTCAATAAATATAAATTCCAAGATCACTATTCGTTAATAAAGCTTTTAAGAAACTATAATTTTTCCTGTATCGACGATATCTTTTTACATCACATTACTTGATTATATTGAACAAGTTTGACCAAAACAAAACTGACTCTAATGCTACTGAAGGTAAACAAAAAATTTTAAAGATAATTTATCTTTCACCAAAATATTTTTTGTAAAATATTTCCTACCATATCTGTCAGGTTCATGTTCGCTTGCTGAGTAATCAATCACAATATTTTATTAAATATTCTAGTTGTATAACTTATTCTCACTGAACTGTATCATGTTATAATGTACCAAAACATTTAGGAATACAATAAATAAATTCTAATAATATATCACAATCTATTATAGTTTCTGCAGATATTTCGAGTTGAATGATTATATGAAAAAGAAAATAGTATATAATTAATAATAAAGTTAACATTAAAAAAACAACGAACTTCATCCATATCTAATAAATATATTCTTATTACGACTAAGTTCGATTTAAATGAAACCTATGAAATAGAAAAAAAAACAGAATAGATCTAATTTTTTAAAGTTTACTCTGATTTCACTATTTCTAGTTGATGTGGGTGTCGATGTCGGTGGGTATGATTGTAATCATTTATTCTACGGCACACACCCACATCCACACTCTAGATGCTTTTGCATATAATCTGCTAAGGATTTGGGTGTGGGTGGATGGTGTGCGTGTAAGTGTTGGTGGAAGAGAAGACCAACATTCACACCCACACTCATCATTTTTTGGGACGCTAGGTCCATCATATGGCACACCTCTTTTGACGAAAAACAAGACGGTGATACTCATACTGAAAAGGAGTCAATCCTTAGCTAGCTATTACTATTACCGTCTTGTTTTCCATATCACTATCAAAAGTATGACTAATACGAACGAAAAGAAAAATTTGTTTATATGCACATGCCATTTGTTTTAAATTTAATGTCTGATGAAGTATCTCACCGAGATACGAAACGTCACAATTTGTAAATTATAGATTTAACCCTTTCGAGTGGATGGGGCCCACCGGTGGGCCCCACTATATTTTAACAAGAAATTGAATGAAAAAAAACTTTCTTTTCTTTTATTCTTAGGTGAAAGGTTAGACGTAATGCGTGCCTTCGCTATTTTTAACTCTTTCGAGTCGATGTGACCCACCGGTGGGTCACACTATATTTTAAAGCCAATGAGTGACCCAGAAGAAATGGCTGCACTTTGCATTTCATATTTTAATCTCTAAATACGTTTTATTAAAAACACAGCATATACCATAAGATGCAGCGTGAAAAGCTCTACAATCTACATCGTAAAGCTTCCTTCAATTGTGTACTTTTTATTTTCAAAGCAAGGAATTTATTATGGGTCACCCGTGATTTTCTAGCAAAAAACCGAATCGAGTCGAAAGGGTTAAACAAAGTATTAATATCGAATCAAATTAAATTGATTTAAATTTAAAACAAAATAAAACAAAAGAAGAGAATTAAGTAATGTCAAATTTAGTTGATATCAACAAAAACAGGGAAAGAATCATTAACCCGAAAGTCTTGTTGCTCTAATTGTCCTTTAACCTCTGGTGAAATATAATTATTGTCTCCAAAAGTAAAAATGACCAATTTCCTGCGTGTCTATGTGCAAAGTGAAAAATGAATTTCAGAGAGAAATCACAAGAGAGTGACAGAGCTACCGAGTTATTTCTTAGGGCGTCAATGAGATGTTGCGAACCTTTGTCTCCGATTCGATTACCTCTAAGGTCTAATGTTTTGAGTGTCTATGTGTAGAGAAAACTTTCAGTATGTGAGAGATATGTAGACAATTTGGAGACTCACTGTGTTATATCGTAAGGCATTACCGAGATATTGCGCTCCTTTTTCTCCGATTTCATTATTTCTTAGGTTCAATGTAGTCAGCGTCTTTATTTAGAACGAAACATTGATATGATAGAGATGCGAAAGAACGAGAGATTCACCTTGTTATTTTGTAAGGCACCAGCGAGATGTTGTGCTCCCTTTTCTCCGATTTTATTCTGTTTTAGGTTCAATGTGGTGAGCGTCTGTATATATAGTAGAAAATGAATAAGATAGAAATTAATAGAGAATGAGAGAGTAACCGTGCTATTTTGTAAGGCAGCAGCCAGATATTGTGCCTCCTTGTCTCCGAGTTTTTTGTATTCAAGGTTCAGGGTGGTGACCTTCTTTATGTAGACGAAAATTTGACTATGATAGACACGATTAAACAATAAAAGCAGTCACCTTGTTGTTTCGCAATTCGATAGCCGCTCCTACAACCACACAATACGCACTCCGGTTGAGTCCAATATCCAATGTGTTAAGTGTCTGTGTGCACAGAAGAAGTTGAATATGAGAGACATGCGGAAAGAAGGGGGAGAATCACTGTGTTATTTTGTAAGGCATCAGCGAGATATTGTGCTCCTTTTTCTCCGATTTCAAATTTGTTCTAGGTTCAATGTGGTGAGCGTCTGTATATATAGTAGAAAATGAATAAAATAGAAATTAACAGAGAATGAGAGAGTAACCGTGTTATTTTGTAAGACAACAGCCAGATATTCTGCCCCATTGTCACCAATTTTATTCTGATTGAGGTTCAGTGCAGTGAGTGTCTATGATTCTTGAAAAAGATGAGAAAAGAGAACAATTAAAAGAGAATGCGAGATTCACCTTGTTATCTCGTAAGGTATCTGCGATATATTGTGCCCCTCTTTCTCCGATTTCGTTGTCCAAAAGTTTCAATGTGGCGAGTGTCTGTATGTAGAGGAAAATACAAATATGAGAGATACATGGAGAGACTGAGATGAACCACCATGTTATTTCGTAAGGCATCTGCGATATATCGTGCCCCTCTTTCTCCGATTTTATTGTGCTGTAGCTCCAATGTAGTGAGTGCCTGAGTGTAGAGGAAAATACAAATATGAGCGATACGTGGAGAGACTGAGACAAGTCACCGTATTATTTCGAAAGCCATTAGCGAGATGCTGTGCCCCATTTTCTCCGATATTATTCTGTTCTAGGTTCAGTATAACCAGTGTCTATGAGTTGAGAAGAAAATGAATTGGAAAGTGATGAAGAAAAAATGAGAGGGTGGGTGTGGGTGTGGGTGTGGGTGTGGGTGTGGGTGTGGGTGTGGGTGTGTGGGCGTGGGTGTGGGTGTGGGTATGGGTGTTGATGTGGGTGTGGGTATGGGTATTGATGTGGGTGTGGGTATGGGTGCGGGTGTGGGTGTGGGTGTGTGGGTGTGGGTATGGGTATTGATGTGGGTGTGGGTATGGGTGCGGGTGTGGGTGTGGGTGTGTGGGTGTGGGTGTGGGTGTGGGTGTGGGTGTGGGTGTGGGTGTGAGTAAAGAGAGGAATGACACCGACACCTGCACTTAGGGATGCACCAAATCCTAGAGTATGATATCAAAGAGGACAATTTTTTCTGTTAAAAGTGTAGCTGGCTTTCAATTGTTTGCGTCAGTTAAGACCATTATTTTCGCTTTATCTGAAACTGTGATCAAAATTTATGCAATTAGAAATAAAGGTTATTGAATTGNTAACGATATATAATGCAGTATCTTACTATTAAAGAACGTCTTGCATCGAATGCAGGCCACTGTCGAAAATTGTAGGTTTGAACTGTTAAATTTATTCATCGAAAATTGAAGGAAAATCACTTGTTTTCACTTCGTGAATCATTTTTATGATTATGATGCTTATTCAGAAATACAACTGACATTTTATTTATTGTGAAAACAACTGTAGTCTACGTCACAAATATTGCACTATCAACGACAGACTTACTTATCCTTGATATTTATTTTGTTGCATCAGTAGCACATAGGGAGATGCGTATGCTCTTAGAAAGAGAACGAATAATGATAATAATAAAAGAATACTGGTATTTATTATTCTGCGCATACGTAATCAATAGATAAGATATACTCACTCATAAAAAAAGCTGAAAATGATTTAGTTGAGGAAGACAAAGGCATTTACTCATTGAATATAGAGCCGATAAGAGAAAGAAAATGCATTATTATTTTGATAGACGGGCACGTTATTGGTGTATATCACTATTCTGATCATTACACATAGTCAAAAATGAAATTTTGTGAATGGTATTTTCGAGCTTTTGACTCTTATGCATGAACATGTGAGTTATCTGAAATATTGGTAATTATTGTTCATAGCAGATGCAAAACTGGAGTGCATACATAGAAGTGCATTTCACTATCATTCTTCACTTTTTAGGCCGAACATGCTAGATAATATTTGATTTTGACGTTTGAAAACATGCTCATACAAGTACCAAGTATTTCTCTTTATGAGTAGCATTTTAATTTATATTAGATCAATGTTGAATAGAATCAAACTATATCTAATCAAAAGGCTTTTATTTTTAACGCTTCATATTTATCAATATTCAGAGACATGTGCGTGCTCCATTGCTATGAGACTATCATACTGTCTTTCTAGAGGTGTGAACAGGTCACTTCTTTCTACCTGGATTGTAAACTATTAGGACTAGATATTTGGAAAAATTGCGTAATATGCGTCACATTTCTTTTTCTTTACACACCGTAGTCTTGATATATATTTATTTATTTTCTATGTCTACTAAGACAGTCTAGTTAAAATAAAAGTCGACGTGAAACTACTAAAAGAATGGCATAAGTTTAAAAAGAATTATAGCCAGTATACTAGTTTACGAAGATGTTTTCAATATACAATATCGATTCGAAACCGAATGGATCAAAAAATTTTAAAATAATATATCAAGACTTTTTCTGGGATATTAATACAGACTGTGAACTTTTCTTCGTCGAAATATGGATGTTTGTTTTTAAGTTCTTACGCTTGACTAGATAGTTATAAAGATAGACAAGCAACTACAAAATATACATTTATATAAAGTGACTCGTGTTTTTTTCTCTCACCATCGATTTATTGGTAGAAGTCTTCAAGTAAAACATGAACACACTGTATTTTATGATACATTTTGATTAATATTTATACCAAGTCAAATTTTAGCAATAAAATGAAACATCAAAATTTTTTCATATGAACAACAATGTCATAAGTCTACTAATAATAGTTACTTCAGTTGCACAAAAAGAAAAACTTATAATTAATTTATATTTAAGGATTAGCAGTTCTTTGCGTCAATAGTGTAGAATTTACTAATGGTGTTGTACGTGTATTTTTCATGCCAGTTCGAGAAAATATACATGTCTAATTCTCGTTTGGACAGATGTTCATAGAATGAAATTGCCGGAAGGAATGAAGTTTTCATAAACATTCTCTGTTGATTTATCTAAATTAGTGATGTGGGGTGGGTCTAGTTGAGCTAGAAGTCGAACGTAATGTATGTTAAATTAGGTATTTGAAAAAAGTTTTGCAAATGAGATTTTCATAGTAATTAATCTTATCCAATTATTTTATTCCTATTTTTATCTAATTATAAACTCTTGATTTCAACAGTCAGTTTAGAAAGTAAATTTTTCGACGTTAAAGTAGTTTTCTTAACAAATATTTGAAAAATAAAATATTCATGAATATATAACATATGTCGACCACACAAAATTTGTTATGAATATTCATCTGAATCATCTTTCAGATTTTCTCGAAAACAAAATGATTGAACTCAATGAAAATGTCTCTACTAATCATTCGAACATCTCAAAAAGTGATAAGTGCGATGAAGATCTTAAACGTCATCTAAGTACTCGACATATAACTATGATCGCTATCGGTGGTATTATTGGCCCTGGTCTACTCGTGGGTTCAGGCACGGCACTTGCGTATGCTGGTCCTGCAGGAGCTCTAATTGCGTTTGTTGCCACAGGCATAATTGTCTTCTTTGTTATGCAATCGCTGGGTGAAGTCTCGACTGCAATACCCGTTAGTGGCGCATTTACTGATTTTGCGGGTCGATTCTGTGATCCAGCCCTTTCTTTCGCTCTCGGTTGGATCTATTGGTATCTTTGGATTACAGTTCTGGCTAATGAATACAATGTCATATCGGTTGTCATTATGTATTGGACGGAAGCTGTGCCTCAATGGGCGTGGATTGTTATATGTTGGTTTATTTTTCTTGCAATATCCCTCGTTGGTGTTCTCGTTTATGGTGAAATTGAATTCTGGTTGAGTTTAGTCAAGATTTTCGTTATTGTCGTGTATTTCGTTCTTGCCGTGTTAATTGATACCGGTGTTATAGGTGGCACATATATTGGTATGCAATATTGGCGAAATCCAGGTTCATTTGCAGATGGAATCAACGGTGTGGCTAAAGTATTTGTCGTTGCTGGTACACTCTATGCTGGAGTAGAGATGGTCGGAGTTACAGCTGGTGAATGTCAAAGTCCACAAGTGGCTGTTCCACGAGCAATCAAGCAAGTCTTCTTGCGAATCATAGTTTTCTATCTTGGGATGGTATTTTTCATCGGTCTGGTAATACCCTACAATTCGACTCGTCTTCTTTCTGCTTCGTCTAAAGTAGCTGCATCACCTCTAACTATCTCTTTGGAAAATGCAGGTATTCGCATAGCTGCTCATGTAGTTAATGGACTTATCGTTCTTTCTGTTTTGTCGGCTGGCATATCGGCAATTTATGTTACATCGCGTACTGTGTTTTATCTAGGAAAAACAGGAAGAGCCCCGAAATTTCTTGGAATTATAAATAAACATGGTGTCCCATGGCCGGCGATTATCTTTTGCAATCTATGTTCATGTATCTGCTTCGTTAATCTAGGTTCGGGTGGGGCTGGTGCTGCTTTCACATATTTAATTAATCTCTCAGGTGTTTCGACATTCATTGTTTGGGCTACTATAACACTTGTGCACATTCAATTTCGTCGTGGCTTGAAAGCACAAGGAATGAGTACTGATGATTTACCATTTAAAGCAATGTGGTATCCATACGGTGCCTACTTTGGTCTTGGAGCCAATATATTTCTAATCTTCTTTCAAGGATACACAAGTCTAATGCGACCGTTTGATCCGGCTGCCTTCACCGTCTCCTACATTATCATTCCTGTTTTCTTGATACTTTTCCTTGGATATAAATTTTCGAAAAAAACTCAATGGGTAAAAGTATCCGAGATGGATATCTGGTCTGGTCGACGTATTCTTAACAATAACGTAGCCAACACAGACAAACGAACAATATGGTCGCATATAAAAGCTATCTTCATCTGATTAACTTACGTTAGTCATGTCTTTTTTTTCGAATGTTACTCATTCATAGGCTAGGAAAAATTGATATTTTGTTCTATATTTTTTGTGATTCAGCTGAGACCAATGAAAAATAAGAGGACATCATTGTCTGCCACAACAAGCTAGCTATAAAAATAAAGAATCGTCTCGAATTGAACATGTGTTAAATATTCCAAATAGATACAGCTTCTTTCTATGGAATGATCTTCGATTAAAATTCATATGGAACTGTACCAAACAGTCTGATATGCTTAGTTATATCCTAATTGAAACATCAGAGGGAATACATTTGAATCAAAAGTTTAGCGCTATGCAAAAATTTCACATTTCATTTTAGATTTCTATCACCAGGGCATAATTTATCATTTATCAAATCAACAATTTTCAACGTTCATGAACTCGTTTGTTAATAATTAATTTCGAAACGAATTGGAATAGTTTAATAGACTGGCATAAGTCTCATGCTTTCGTTCTGTCCCGTAAGAAGTAATGTTGAATTATTTCCGTCCTTCTTTTATTTCATTAGTATTTGTTTTATTGTCAATTCAAATTAAAAACAAAAATCGAAAGAAGAATTTAACCTTGATACAAATCCTTTCTCAACAACAGGAAGATACTCAACATTTCTATTGGATTAACTTCGAAAAAGAGCAATAACTCTCTGTACGGACATAAGAGAGAAACAGGAAAAGAAAAGGAAGTGACGTGCGACATTAGAGTCGCTGACTCTCTACTGAAAGGATATGTCTACGTCGAACATTTCACATTGAGCAAGATGGAACCTCTTGGTTTTATTTCACTTGAAATATAGTTATTACTGTTTTTGGGACTTCACTCTCCCAGATTCCTTTGTGTTGTAATTAAAAGATTTATGAACGGTAAGTTTTCTTCCATTGAAATACTCAAATTAATCAATACAATTGAACAGCTTTCCAAACACTAGGCTTTTCTGAAAAATAATGCAGCAATGAAGCTATTCGTACCCATGGCGTAAATTTCTGCGAAAAAAACGCGTTTTTCCATAGTTGCGAAACGCGTTAATGCTGACCGGTTTAACGAGTTCCGCATCTGCTAAAATAAACGTTACGAAACGATTATTTCTTAAAACCATTTCTCAGTGTTTCTGAAACTAAGGTATCGCATACTTTGGAGAAATACTAAAATAACCAGGTCCTTCGCAGAACTCAACTTGCAGATGCGATCCTTATATACGTTTGCATTAATTCATAGAATTGTAGAGGTAACTTACATTAATGTCTATAAACTCAACAAGTAGATCCGAACACGAGAATAGAAGATATGCGTACAAACCGTTCAACTAAAATAGTCGAGTGATATAAGTGTTTATTCTATTCTTATGTATATATCGTGCAAACTTCTCATTCGAATAAATTTCCAAGTCTAAATGAACGATGAAAAATTTTATTCTTTTTACTACTTCTATTCAAGAGTGTCACTTCGCCTCCAATTTATTTTGAATCTAACTTAGAGAACTTTCAAATTGCGAAATTTAATTCTTGCAAAGTGTGAATATCAAATTGAAATCAATTAAATTTGATATCAATTAGGCTAACAATTTTAAAAGGATTGAACTTCGTAAATTTGAATAAACAACATTGAATTTTAAATTTTCAAAAATTTGATTGGATTTAATAATTTTGTAAATGTAAATTCATGATTCATAGATCCGAGCGCATTTATAACTGAAAGACATTTTTTTTTGTAATTCGCGTCTCTTTTTTAAACAAGCTACGCTGACCTATGTCGATAATGTGCGAACGAAAGTTATATTGTAACCGTGTTTCGGACACTGCATAATCAGATGCTAGTCCATATATAAATTCACTATAATTATTATTACATATTGTAAATCGTAAATTACGCGAAAATACATTTTTCACACAACAACGCTAAAGTTGCTCTACGAATTATTTTTGCATCAGTCTTCACTGAATTTTTTCAAAGTTTTCAATACTTACTACAAATATTTATTCAACGCTACGAAACTCATTTTCTTTGAATCATGACTCTGTACAACGATTTTATTATTAAACGAAATGAGTTTAATAACGTCTCACTTCAGAAATGCTTCGAAACATAGTCTGAAAAGGGTGTGGGTGTGGGTGTGAATGTGGGGTGTGGGTATCGATGTATTATTGAGAGACATTCACACTCATATCCACACATGCATCTACACCCATCCACACTCACGATCACCCACACCAAAATTCACACCCAAACTCGCACCCATCCTTATGCTCAAAGTATTTATAGTTTATTTAGGTCAGCATAGAGGCATAGTCTCGACGCAAAAATGATTTATCCGTTCGAAATATTTCTATATTACAGGGAAGCTCATCTATTAGTCGTCATACAACCACTCTCATCCACCAAGACTCTCACGGTCTCAGATCCTTAGTTGTCTCAGCATATTTCCAAGATTATTTTTCATGAATGGAGGCTCCTTTCCACTTCTCCGCAATTAATGCCATCAGAAGATGGAAGATGTACTCAACTGAGCATCATTTCAATTGTATCAGTGCCTACATCTCATTGTTGTGTATCGATACATAGTGCATCAACTTCTTCCAGTTTAATATTGTAGTAGCTTACCAGAATCTTTTTAATCTATTCTTTGTTTTATGATTTCGTTCTGTGTGTCTCGTTGCCTTGGAGTTTTAATAATGCAGCTTTTCAATAAACAAACGAAAAGCATTGTGTCGTAGTGATTCTCGTCGCACTACGACTGCAACCTTGTTAGAAAGGCGAGTGCGGATTATTGAATCGAATGTCATTCTTTCCATCGTTTTTAATTAAATTTTGAATCTGGTCATAATTTTTTCATCATGAAATGTTAGGTTTTTAATTCAATAAAATAATGCAACGTGTAATATATTTTTCCAGACACTGCTGGTTGCATGATTAATTGAAAAATGAGCAGTGGTCGCTGTTGTGTCATTGGAAAGGTTTCCTCTATTATATTAATAAAAAATGCGTTGATGTATTAAAGTCATTTGACTAGAGACATAGTTAACAAGAGAAAACAATACAATATCGTCGAATCTGTTTCTTCACGTAGCAATATAACAAATCGGAGCGCTTTTAAGAAATATACTTTAAAGGATCCGAATGTCTCATATCGTAAGCAAAACTTTATTTGCAAAGCAACCTCAGGTATTTATAATCTGCAGTATATTACTGAAATCATAATGAGATTTTTGTGGAACTCAAGTATATTTTCGACGAAAATAGTGAGTGTAAGTTTGAAGCTCAAGTTTTTGCGGCTCCTCCTCTCCATTACAGACAGGTCACCTTTACAAATCTCAGCAACCGCGCACAAAAGCCTTCAGATTATATATAATATTTCAATGCTTTCATAATTATTTGAAAAAACTATTTTTCAGTTTACAAATAATGCGTTACGATAACAAGTTTGAAGGATGTGTGTGAGTTCCACATTTCATCTCCAAAAGAGCTGCTCTAACAGGCTTTTTAAAAATAATTATGAAAACATTGAAATACTGCATACCAGTCGAAATCATATTCTTCATACTGCTCAACTAGTTTTATTTTTGTTGTTAAATAAATCTGAAACCTTTTGTGTGCGGTTGCTAAGGTATGTATTGGGAAGGGGAGCCGCAAAAGGGTATGGGTGTTAATCAACTATTTCCTCTCTTCCACACCCACACCCTCAACATAAGCAGCATAATTCGGTCTTTTATTACCTTGAAAAATTAAGCAATATCACAGGTTATCAATTGATTGAAATATATAATAGTGGTAAGAGCTGCTAATGCATATAAAATACATTATGATAATAGTCTTATTCATGAAATAGTCGAAGATGAAAATAATTAATAAGCAAGTTAACACAAAAACAAAAAAACTGACTATTATAGAGTATATAGTAACAATTACAGATGAAATCGGGAGGTCTCAAACGAAGAAGACATTTTCAGCTTTAAATGTTGAAATAAACAATAAATTCTAGCTCTTATCATTGATTATTAGTGAAAAGAGCTATAGTAGACAAGAAACTTTTCAGTTTACAAATGATGGATTAGGATAACAAGGTTCAAAAATATACGTGAGTTTCACATTTCGGCCCCAAAGGAGTTGCGCTAGGAACTTTGTTTTTGTCTCAATGAACTATTTGGCAGAGTAACTATTGTTCTTCGCAGATCAAACCTCAGTACATGAAGCAAACACAGAAAAACCATTGTTTCTCTTCGCGTGTGAATTCATCTCCAATACAAGAAACTGATGCAAATCGTCACTCTTTGACTACGGCGCCATCAATGTTGAGTCAGATGGAATTATCATCCAAGAACTTCAACAAGTTAGTCATACCGATAGGAGCAATTTCTATCTATTTATTGAGAAGCATGCCAAACCGCTTCTCGTCTATCATTTTTCGATTATACAAACTACCCTTGGTTTTAGAACTTTGAAAAAGAAAGCTACAATGGTGAAAACAACGCCATACCTAACGTTCACTCCCATGGTGCCGATCATAATTGCTCTTGTCTTTGCAGTCTTGAGTTTAATGGTATATGGAATCGCCGCAGTATTCACAAAGCAAACAATGATCGCAAACACAGGTATTATGAGACTAATTTTAAAATTTGAGAGTATTTAGAGCGAATACAAAAAGTTCTATTTCTGAGATCTATTTTCTGTGTCGATTCCTTTTGTGTAAGCTGATCAGTGTAAAAACTAAAGAACCTCTTAACAAATTCATACCAATTTAAATGCTGTTGAATTTTGAAAGAAAATATTCCTTCGTATGATGTAAATTACATGTCAATATTCACGCCAGAAACTTGATATATGAATTAACCGTCGGTTGACTAAAGAAATTTTATTATGTACTGTAAATACGGTTGAAATTGCTTTACTTAAATACTGGCACATTTTTTATGTATCGTGTGAAGACTTCGACCCGTTAACATCGTGAAAAACGATCTCAAAAGAGTGTTGAAGCATATACGATAGAAATTTGGATGTGGGTGTGGATCTTTTTCTCAAAGACATCCACACCCTTAAGCTGTTATATTTATGCATGCGAACCTCATCATCAAAATGTTGAAAAGGTTTTAGCTAAAAAGCCCAATCAATAATCTATGACTAGAGGTGTTAGTCGGTCATTTGATCGGCGACGGCGATGAGGAGCTCTCGCCGAGGAGACGATTTTTGGCGATGGCAGTGGCGATGACAAAATTTTTTATACTTCGTTTCACAGAGTCTTTCATGAGTCCCTACTATTGAAGCAAACATTAGACGTTCTCTTTTCACAAAATTATAATGCTGTTTTCCTCTTAGCACGCTTATGTCTTTTTATGTCAAATTTTTTCTACTATGCATGACTTTATTTTCATTAATTCAAAACACTCACACTGCCCCATCATAAAATATCTTCAAACCAAACAACAATAACACATGATACAAGCCAAAACCGCAATAATGTGACCATCCACCTATTGCAAGTTCGAATGCAGATTAAATTTGCGAATGATACCTCGAATTAGATCATAAGTGAAACTAACATTGAAAATGGAGTTTGAATCCAAATTTAAGTCGATACTGTCCTATGTGTTGAGAACAGGAGCAAGACTTATTTCCATTGATTATTTGAATTTGAATTCAAACTAAATATTTTTTTCTAAGCTGACAGGGGTATCGATTGGAATTCGACTTCGAATCGCAATGTTAGTTTCATTTATACTAGAACTTGAGTTAGACAGTTGGTCAAAATTGCATATTGAATAAGTGAAGCATGACGAACCGGAGAAATTAATAGAGATGAATCTATTGTGTATGAAGTACTAAAGCAAGTAAGAACCTAATAGGTATGATAGCATTGCAAAATCACACGGAGACATACTTGCTTATCAGCTCGACTTTCAGACTATAAGTCATGCAAGAAAAAATACACTATTACCTATTTTTTAAGAGTTCTGTTGGTTTCAGCAATATCTAATTGTCACACAAATCAAATTTGCAATATTACTGATTTTTATCAACAAGTGATAATTTAGAACAGGAGAAAACTTGAACTGTGGTCTTTAATTCAATCGACGGCGGCAGCAAAAAATCGGCGGCTAACACCTCTACCTATGACTAATTCAAACAAGTCTACTACTCCATCTTACAAGGAAACTGCGCCAAGTTATCAATTGCTTTTTCGTAGAAATATACATGACTGTATGCAGTTCACTGAGCTGATTCCGAACATTAGAATCTTAGCAGTCCTCAGGCCTTTCTAAATTCTGTATTGTCACTCTGAACCTCCTACTGATAAGGGTTTTCCTCATCGAATTCAATCTCTTAATTAGTCTACCATGTCTCACTAGACAAAATATCTATAGGAATACTTTTTTTAGAGACATCTCAACCTCATGTTTCAAATGCTCAGATGGATCATTCGAAGAAAAGACTAAATATACGAGCATCCCTTGGGAGGTCATATCTTTAACATAATGAAAGGATAAAGAAATAATTTTATCTTGTGTATGGCACAACATAACCTCACTCAATTCACCGCTTGTGTTGGAAATATATCCTCACATTGTCAATGTTTTATGTTTTTGAGAAATTAGCATAATTATTCCCTATGGTTATATACTTTGCCGCATAAAGAACAATTATGATTAATTTATGAATATATGAGAAAGAAACAAAACCAAATGTCAAATGACTTTTTGTAGTCAAGATATGAATTTAATTTGTTGCTCTATAGCTTAGTATTTGAAGCTTATGATTGAGGTGTCAATAAAAAAAAGCATCTTTATGGATATTTTGTCTAGTGATACATGACAGACTGATTAAAAGATTGAATTTGATGAGAAAAACCGTTAGCAGTAAGCGGTTCAAAAAGATGACACAGGATCTAAAAGGCCTGACGGCTCTTAAGACATTGATAATCGGGATCAGTTCAGTGAATTCCATACAGTCGTGTATGTTTCTACGAAAAATCGATTGATTATTTTGAGAACTTTCTTCGTTACTTGAATTTTTTCAAATAATACACTATCATACATTCCTTTCTGTAGGAGAAGCAACGATTACGACAAATAAAACTATCACAAACATTAATTTGACAACCACGACTACTGAAACTACTTCTACGACGATCACGACTACTACAACCACTTCGATGACATCCATGACTACTACAACCACTTCGATGACAACCACAACAAAAACTACGACAACTACTACTAGTAAAAATATTTCTTAAATACTTGACTTTGTAATGCAATATATAATTAAAAACCATATTATCTTCTAGCATCAGCTCCATGTCCTACTGGATATGTTCGAACATCGTCCGGTTCATGTGTTAATCTTTTGATTGATTTTTATAATTGTGGTTCAATTGGTTATGTATGTGCTTCAAATTATACAAGTTGTTTAAATGGTATTTGCAGTAGTGCACCTGCTGTGCAACTTGCAGGTGGCGTCGTTGTGCCCGGATGGAACAGTTCAGTTAATGTTGATGATGCATATGTTACTCTAAGTCTACCCTTCAGTATATCGTTGTACGGCTATTCGACATCGACTGCATCTGTCCAGAGTAATGGCGTAAGTACTCTTATGATTGATCTCGTTAAAACATTTCAATTAGCAGACACACAATAATTAAGGATGAGTGAAATTAGAATAGGGTTGATGATTCTAGTTATAGTTTCACATCGAACGCATCAATGTACACACCCACACTCCATGTTTCACTCTGAATGGATGACCAAGATGACAAAGATTCAGGAGTTATACAGATGCTATTCTTGAAAGGAGAAGCATAGGAAATTCGAACATATAGATATTATTAGAGCACTTCAGATAGATCCGATTTCGAAATCGGTTTTCAATCAAACTTGATCGAATCAGATTTAGACTTTGCGACTATCCTCTTCGAAGGGCATATATTCTTCTTGATGAGTTGTGCTTAGCAAGAGATATCTTTATCTTCTATTATGCTTGAGACAAAAACAAACAAATTAGAAAATATTTGTTAGCTAGCTTTTTTCTATTCTCTGCAGTAAACTATAAAGTTTTATTTGATTATGTGAAATTAGAATTGATTTGAAGTTCGAAAAATTTATCAACTCAGACTCAAGAAAAAAATTCTTAACTTGAGCTGAATTTTAATACATATGTTCACTTTAACAAATTTATTCTTTTTCATTTTTTGTCAGTTAGATGGTTGTTGCACCTCATATCCTCGAGATCTCTTAATATTCCACGATTCATCAAAGTATATCGAAATGATAATTGTGTGTTGAGCGTGAATAATCAGTGATTTTCTTTTTTATTATTTTAGCTATTTTGATAAGAAATTATAATATTCTAATCGATTATGGGAGTGGGTGAGTGTGCGTGTGGGTATAGGTTTGGGTGTGGATGTGGATGTATGGGTGTGGATGTAGGTGTCCAGTAACACTTAATCTACACTTCACTCACACTCACACCCACACCCCATCCCATCCCACACCAACATCAACATCCAAACCCACACCCAGACCCAATCCTTACACCCACTCACACCTACACATCCACACCCACCCATACCCACACCCTTTTTCTATGAATGAACCACATAATACGTCGAGACTTACAACTCTGTGGCATATATATTCTGAAAAGAATACTTTTTTTTTGTCAGTTGATTGAAAATTTTCTTCTTTTTTTAACAGCTTATGATTCATACTTATCATACATTAGGAAGTGAACCGAAACAAGAAACACTAGCGCAATGAAGTTGTAACTTTCATGTGAACTTATTAAAAAACGTTTTGTAAACGACAGTTAATTATAATTAACTGCCGTTTCACAAAATGTTTTCAACGAGTTCATAAAAGTTAAAGTAATTATCGTTTTATAACATTTTAATAAGTTCATAAAAATCGAACAAATTGTTGTCTAACACGATTTATTTGATGAATTGATGTAAAAACTACAATTTTATTGTACTAGTATGTCTGTTTTTTTCTCGTACCATTTCATTTACAAATCAATGGCAAAATATAAGTCATACAATGTTTGAAAGAGAAGAAAGTTTCCTATCCAATGATGAAAATATATTCTTTTCGAAACATGTTTGTGAAAGAGATATAGGAATCAACATTTTGCGTCGTTCTTCTGAATCTTAAGAAAAATCCAAAGGATCATATTTTATTTTCAATCAATGTCCTGCCAATAAAAGTCATCCAGAAAACGATACGTATGAAATTATTTAAAGAAAATTTTTTTTCATCTGTATTGATTACATATGGTTGAACGTGTAAAAAACGATAAGGGAATTCATGGCTAGGAGACCATCACACATTTTAAATACAATAATATTCGACTTGCAACATATTCCCTACTGACAAATTTTATTTTAGTGTCATGTTGTTATGCATTTTCTACCTAATTACGTTTGTTGTATTGTAAAATTTTATTTCGAGCTAATTCTTTTTTAGTTCTGAACTGAGTAGCCATTATCACATCTATTCTATGTGTAGATTGAAAATTTTTGTTCATACATCATGTCTGAAATGTTTACGTAAGTTTAAATTTGATTATTATTGATTTATCAATCTTGATGAGAATTTAACTTTTCGAATCAATTTTTCTCTAATTCACATATCAATAATATATAATATCAACGAATACTTTCAAAGACAAAAACTGATATAGAAAAAGTTCATGCATTTATGAAAAATGAAATAAAAAAATATTTTTCTTATTTTCAGCTATTCGCGATGTAAAAACAAACAATAGATTAGTTTTGAATCATGATATTCTTCAATAAAACAAATTTCTTTAAAAAATACAAGTCAGTCGTAGAAATAACGACATCTACTCAAAAGCCCTGAACACTATATATGATAAGTTACTGTTATTCGTCACTGACATTAATCTTTATGAACTTACTAAGAATGATAGTGTTGATAGTTAGTTACTGAGGAAATAACCATAGAAACTATGTCAGACATGGAGTAATCTGACAATTTGCACATCTTCTAATAAACGGTTCGACAACTTATGTATGCTAGATCTCTTCCACATCACAGACATGCCTTCCTTTTATTGCAAACTTGAGCAATTGAGTATAACAGGTATCAGATTTCCTAGAATATTTTTGCACAATTAATCAAGTTATAATTTTGAAAAGTAATGAATGTCATTGTTTATGAATTGATTAATATACATATGATAGTGCATGAGATCTACTATAGATATCATGGATGTATACAATGGACTTACTTGTCAATTGATTCAATGATTATAATAGTAAAAATATTAAGAAAAACAAATTTAACAAGGGTAATGAGCGAATAGCAACTAAGTAAACAAGAATAAGGACGCCTGTAGAAACTGTAAAAGAATTCTGTTCAAAATGCACAATTTAGAGGGATTGTTACTCCAATAGAAAATATATATGAGCTTTACAATTTAACCCAAATGAGTCTTTATTAAAAAGTTTTCTTTTAGAGTAAAGCAATTAAAACTTCATGATTTTATTTAAAAAATTGACTCTGATGAAATTTTTATGAAGAGAAAATTATTTCAAAAATAATCGGATGTTTTTTGTCCAAAGTTGTATTGTAAATCATAAATTGCATTTGTATAATAGCATTGGCACATCAATCTTGTATTAATTGACATAAGTAGAGTTACAAAACTGACTAGAACAAACTTGCATCATTATTCAATGGAGTTTGTAGAGACAAGTGTTGACAAAGTTGAAAAATATTTAAAAGAAAAATTTCTTTTCGAATTTTATTTTCAATATTTGACAGAATTGCTAACTATATTTTTCCTTTAGAAAAAAGAATAAGAAAGCCGAAAAACTGCTTAAAAATATTACAGAGACCAATAAATTATGTTAATTATGAAATTCTATAATTAAAACTATTGATCAATGACTTTACCGGAAAATAAAGTATTTATTATGATAGTTAACTACTTTAAGAGGCTGCAAGTCTTTAAAAACTATTGTAGAAAATGTGTCCGCTTTGAAAATATTTTTATCATAACCTGTAGTGCCACAGTCACTTATGAAAATATGAATAATCCGCCAAAATAATTTTTGGGATTAATGTAGAGTAATAATTGTCACGGAGCATAGAAAAATCAATTGCTCCATTTTAGTGTAAAGTCTTCAGTCGAATGATATATTTCTAGTGTGTCTGTCTTGCTGGTTGCTCGAGTGCTTATTCAAATACAGCTTTACCAAGCAGCAACTTCGCCGGACCAACAGCTTTTGGATGTTGGGATGATCTTTACATATTCTCAGGCACATCTCAAAGTGTCTACTATGGTACAACAGGCACATATCCCAGTCGAAGATTAGTCTTTGAGTTTTACACAGCTCAGTATGGCTCGTCGACTCATTATTTTCACTTTCAAATTGTGTTCTATGAAGCTGCACCTAATGTTGTTCAATATTTATATTACCAAGTGGCAGATGGAGGAGCTTCAGCCACAATTGGTGTCCAGGGTGAGTATGCATTTACATGATTGTTATGCATTGGTAATTGAGTTCTTTTTCTGCCTCATGAAGGAGCGGCAAGCGGTCCTAGTATGACATATTCTGTCAATTCAGTATCTGTACCGGTAGGTACATCAACAACAAACACTCCGACATTAACACTGACATTCAATACAACGGCTGGCACATACACAAGTTCTGGATAAATGAATTAAAGAAACAAATGTAACATTCTAATTAATCATATTCTCTGGTTGATGTCTTTCTCCACTTGTATGCGGTATCAAAATCATGTACCATGTTTTTTTCTTTTATTTCAAGTCGCATACCTGCTTATCACTTTCGATTGTTTTATCAATACGAATTCTCCTTCACTTACAACTTTTTCTTCTCTATTGTCGTTAAATACAGATCAATGAGAAATTCATGCGTGTGTTTAGGAAATGCTGACCGTATAAAATTCAACTGAAAACTGGCACTTGATCCTTTCACACATAATCTGATAGAATATGAGGGTGGGTGTGGGCGTAAGGTTTTCGCTCATCTTATCTTAACTTCCACTTACAGTCGCAATCCACGCACCTACGAGTTAAATCAATCATCAACTAAATAATCTAGGTGATTTCAAACAGACGCTTACTCGAAAGAGATCAAAATAGAACAATTCTTACTATCACCTTCCAGGGTGTGATGTGTGGGTATCGATGAAAAAAAGATTCACACCCACACCCAAAACCATACCAACCTACACCCCACACCCCACACGCACACCCACACTCCCCACACGCACACCCACACTCCCCACACGCACACCCACACTCCCCACAGGCACACCCACATCGGGAGTGATAGTCTAGATCGCAAGAACCATACTATCAAATCCATTGACTTTCCCGTAGAGCCCAGACAGAGTGATTCTTGGGAAATTCTCAATCGCAGCGCATTTTCCTTTACATTTCTTGATCATGGTGTACATCTTGACAAGCTGTATCCGCACAAAAACAGGGTGTGGGTGTTATGATGTGGCTTAAGAAGTGAACTATAACCACACCTAAACCCACACCCNACTACAAAATGATATATAAAACATAAAGAACCAAGAACGTTGACTAACCTATCACAAAGATAATTAAAGAGAACTAGGTTATATTTTGGTCCACAATCTAATTGATCCACAAATAGAGCTTCATCATCCGATTACACTGATGATACTTCGAGGTTTTCAGATATGGAGAACTCAAATGTGTACTGCACTTCCATCGAAATACTATTAGTTGTGCAGTGACCAATAGAAATGAAGTTATAGGAAAAACGACTTTCTTAGAGTAAATCAAGGTGCAGAGTTCAAACTTGCGCTGTATTCGGTCCCATAACCTATTGGTTTGCCAACGCGCGATATAAATCAACATTTTAAATGGTAGATTTCACTCAATAATTTTGATATTCAGATAGTCTAGGATGATTGATTTGTATGATTCACTTTTTGAAGTACACATAACTCTCGGATTTAAATCCGAAGTTTCCACATTTATTTATTTTAAGGGTTTTTGACGTTTTGATGAAACTTTGCTATAGGTTATCGAGGACCGAGAATCCGAATCCGAAGTCGTTTTTTGGCCGGGCTTCTCTTGTAGGAAGTGTTGAGAATGTTTTATTTTGTCAAACATAAAGCAAAAAGAGATGAGCAAAGAAAGCGAAAAGAGATGAACAAAGAAAACGAGAAGAGATGAACAAAGAAAACGAAAAGAGATGATAAAGAATAGAGAAAAACAACAACAAAGACGAAGGCAAAACAAGTTAGCAATAACTCATATCCAACTGAGATTAGAAGGATGAAAGAGAGGAAAAGATCAAAAAGGAAGTTTAGCATGAAATGATGATATATTTTGACGCTAACAGAAATGAATATTTTCACTTTGGAGATACTAGCTCTTGTTGTTCTAGTATTTTCCATGATGGGATATTAATTTTGACTTTTGGTTTTCGTTGAAATTTAAAACGAATGTAGCATATGAGAAAAATGATCAGTAGAACTAATGTTCCTATTAATAGAATGTTGAAAGTGAATGTCGAATGTGTTTTGAATTGTCCCCGAAAGAGGACCTCAGGAGGTTGAGTCGTTTTAGCGATAAGATCTATGATAGTTTGGATAAGAGATGGAATGTACGGTAATTTATCCCAATTAGTATTGTTGTGAATGAAAGAGTGTAGATCAATGACTTCTTCGTCAACAGGATTAATTGTGGCGTTTTGATATAAAACAAGTTTTGATTTTGATTGGATTAGAAGTCCTGGTAAGTAAAATAAATCACATGATAAAGCCATAGAGATTTTGGTAGAAATTAATGCGGTTGGAGGTAGGGTAATTGCATGGTTATCCATTACTTTGTATTGATCTGAATCTGGATTGTTGGCTGAATGACATTTTGTAGTCGAGTTCGTGGAGATTGCCCAATAATCTCCAATTTTACGTACAAATACTAAATCTGGATAAGGTTCGATGCGGCATGCTGTTAGCGGTGTATCAGTTAAAACTTGATAAATTCACGTGTCCTCAAGATCTTTTTGGATAGCTGTTGTTATACGGCATGATGTCATCACTTCAAAACAACAAATTTCTGCTTCTTCTCGGGACTATTGAACAAACTGACGAGAATCTGGATGAATGCCTATGTATGCTGGCATTTGAGCAAGTCTAACACGTTTATGTGCATGGTTAAACGGGATTGGTATCGGTTCATAAATAAAAAATGGTTTTTCATCATAATTTGAAGCTGCGAAGTATGAAGTAAACACTAATTCTCCGATGATTGCACCATAGGTTGAAGCTCTTAATTGGATTGTAGGAATAAATGAAATCTCTTGACGAACGAGTAGCCGAGGTACTAAATCTACCATTGATATTGAGCTATTGTTGTATTCAAATAAGATGTTCGTTGCTTGTATGATGTATTCGATAGCTTTTGGGATATCATCGTGATGAATAAAATGTAAATTAAGGTTACCCCTTAGAATACCTTCAATTGAGGTGTGTAAGAAATGGCCTCGACGTTATGCATAAATGCGTTGAGTTTATTATTAATAAAGGTTGAAAATTCACCAATTCTTCTTATGGCCTCATCATGACCTCGTATTGTGTCTGAATGTTGATTAACAAGATGCATTGTTCGATTAATCGCTTGTTGTGTGCTGTTAAGTTCCACAGCTAGTTTGAATTGCTCACCTGTAAGTTGTAGAATTTGAGCATCCTGTGTGTATTTCGTTTTCTGAAGTGTTTTAACTGTTTCTATTACTGTCTTCACTTCTTGTTTTAAGTTTGCTTTTTGAATCATACTCATGGTCGATAAAGATAGAGGTGCAGTGCTCATACCAATAGAAACAATATCAGTCAAAAATCTTTTATTAATTGTTCCCCACACACCAAAAACATTATTTATACACATACAACTATTTTCCCTCGACGGTAGGGTGGGTCATATGAAAGAAAATAGTTTGTGTATGTGTATGTCTGCATCGGGGTCAAAAAAAACTTCCACTTTAGAAAATTTTCCATAAAGTTTGACGAAAGTAAATCGGGATCGAAGAATTCGAATCTGAAGTCAGTTTCTGAAAATGTTGAATTGATTTTTTTGGATTCAGGGAAAATTCTTTTTGAGAAAATAATAATATTTCCTCAGATGTAGGAAGAGTTATATGAAATAAAATAAATTTTTATCGATTATTGTCAAAGTGAACGATGAAACGTCATTTTAAAAACCTTGGCTAAGTGTTCGATGCTCGAGCTTTTATTATTGAACTTTTCACCAATTCTGTTTTTCAAACTGAAAATTCGGTTAATCCGACGTATGCGATAAGTTCTTCCTGAATGAGCTGTTTTATAACTAGGTTTCCACGGACAAGGCTAGTTATCAAAGAGCCCGATCAGTTTCTTCGATTTTAACGATTCGAGAAATCTAAGTTTGAGTCAGTTATTGTGACGAGACTAGTAGATCTATTCTTTTGATACTCACATGNAGAAAACGAAAAGAGATGATGAAGAATAGAGAAAAACAAGAATAAAGACGACGGCAAAACAAGTTAGCAATGACTCAAATCAAACTGAGATTAGAAGGATGAAAGAGAGGAAAAGATCAAAAGAATAAGTTTAGCGTCAAATGGTTATATATTTTAACGCTAACAGAAATGAATATTGTCACTTTGGAGATGCTAGCTCTTGTTGTTCTAGTATTTTCCATGATGGGATATTAATTTTGACTTTTGATTTTTGTTGAAATTTAAAACAAATGTAGCATATTACAAAAAAGATCAGTAGAACTAATATTCCTATCAATATAATGTTGAAAGTGAATGTCGAATGTGTTTTGAATTGTCCCCAAAAGAGGACCTCAGGAGGTTGAGTCGTTTTAGTGATAAGGTCAATAATAGTATGGATATGAGATGGAATGTACGGTAATTTATCCCAATTAGTATTGTTGTGAATGAAAGAGTGTAGATCAATGACTTCTTCGTCAACAGGATTAATTGTGGCATTTTGATATAAAACAAGTTTTGATTTCGATTGGATTGAAAGTCTTGGTAAGTGAAATAAATCACATGATAAAGCCATAGAGGTTTTGGTAGAAATTAATGCGGTTGGAGGTAGAGTAATTGCATGGTTATCCATTACTTTGTATTGATCTGAATCTGGACTGTGGGCTGAATGACATTGTGTAGTCGAGTTCGTGGACATTGCCCAATAATCTCCAATTTTACGTACAAATACTAAATCTGGATAAGGTTCAATGCGGCATGCTGTTAGCGGTGTATCAGTTAAAACTTGATAAATGCACGTGTCCTAAAGATCTTTTTGGATAGCTGGTGTTATACGGCATGATATCATCACTTCAAAACAACAAGATTCTGCTTCTTCTCGGGACCATCGAACAAACTGACGAGAATCTGGATGAATTTCTATGTATGCTGGCATTTGAGCAAGTCTAACACGTTTATGGGCATGGTTAAACGGAATTGGTATTGGTTCATAAATAAAAAATGGTTTTTCATCATAATTTGAAGCTGCGAAGTACGAAGTAAACACTAATTCTGCGATGATTCCACCATAGGTTGAATCTCTTAATTGGGTTGTAGGAATAAATGAAATCTCTTGACGAACGAGTGGTCGAGTTACTAAATCTACCATTGATATTGAGCTATTGTTGTATTCAAATAAGATGTTCGTTTCTTGTATGATATATTCGATAGCTTTTGGTATATCATCGTGATGAATAAAATGTAAATTAAGGTTACCCCTTAGAATACCTTCAATTGAGGTGTGAAAGAAATGGCCCTCCACGTTATGCATAAATACGTTGAGTTTATTACTAATAAAAGTTGAAAATTCACCAATTCTTCTTATGGCCTCATCATGACCCCGTATTGTGTCTGAATGTTGATTAACAAGATACATTGTTCGATTAATCGCTTGTTGTGTGCTGTTAAGTTCTACAGCTAGTGTTAGTAGATTTTAAATTTCGGTGGGGATTTTATCAATAAAAGAGCTTTTATGGAAAATATTGACTTACGCTGGGCTGATGGCAGAGTGCTACGTGGAAAGCTGAATAACTTTGTAGAGGAATAGTACGCAGACATGTGAGGTTTTTGTTCAATGAGAACTTACGTCACGAACAAGCGGTTAATCGAACAATGTATCTTGTTAATCAACATGCAGGCACAATACGG